ATGTTCGGGAGGCAGCCGCCGCCAACTCTCCAGCTTCCTCTATGAGTATCCCCAGATCAGCAATCTGTTGGCACCGAGAAGGTGTCAGTTGGCTAGGATGTGGTGTCATCATTCCGCTGGGCGCACTCATGTTGCTGTTGCTACGCGCTGCGCTGCTGCGCCAGCGCGCGCCGCGCGCGCGCGCGCGCCGGCCCCCGGCGGCGGCCCTCGCCGGCGGCCGCAGCCACCGGCTTTGTTTGAGCCAAAATGGCTATGAGCTACGGGATCGAGGTTCGAGGGTGGCCAACCCACGACGGCCCAAGGCCCAACGGCCCAAGGCCCAACCCAAGACGGCCCACCCTAACCCCCCAACCCCCAACCCCGCCCCCGCACCCCGCACTTTCCTATGGTTGGGTCCCCCGTCCCCCGCCAACTTCCACCTTTCTTGCGGCGTTGGGGGTTGGGGGTTGGGGGATTGGGGGATTGGGGTGCGGGGTGCGGGGGTGTTGGGCGTCGGGCCATCGGCCATCGGTGTGCACTTTGCACCCGCGGCGCGCATCGCTGTCCTTTTAACTGTTGCTTTCTGCTCTCTGCTTTCTTCATTGCTGCATGCTGCGTGCTGATTGCTGATTGCTGTTTGCTGCTGGCTGTTGGCTGCTGGTTGCTGGCTGCTGGCTGCTGGCTGCTTGCTGATTGCTGATTGCTGATTGCTGATTGCTGCTTCCCGCTTGCCGCATGCTGCTTGCTGCTGGCTGCTGGCTGCTGGCTGTTGGCTGCTGTCTGCTGTCTGCTGTCTTCTTGCTGATTGCTAGTTGCTGGTTGCTGATTGCTGCTTGCTGCATGCTGCATGCTGCTTGCTCCCACTTCCCACTCCTCGCTCCTCGCTCCTCGTTCCGCTCGGGCGCCCGGCGCCCTGGCGCCCCATGATGGCTTATGGCTGGTGGCTTGTGGCTTGCGGCCTGTGACCTGCGACCTGCGACCTGCGCGAGGGCATTCATTGGAGGAGGAGGAGAAGAGAAGAGAAGAGAGAAGGGAGAAGGGAGGAGGAGGAGGGAGGAGGGATGAGGAGGAGGAAGGAGGAGGGAGGAGGCAGGAGGCAGGAGGCAGGAGGAAAGGGAAAAGGAGGAAGACGGAGGGGGAGGGAGGAAGGAGGAGGGAGGAGAGAGGAGGAGGAGGACGAGGAAGCGGGACGGAGGACGGAAGGCCGCTAGGGCGGCCCAGAGGGCCACAGGTCGGGGCCGACGCAAGCGGCAGGCAAGCGGCAGGTGGCTGGCAGGAACGGCCCCTCATGAGCGGCCCGTGGCTGGCAGGAGCGGCCCCTCATCAGTGGCAAGTGGCTGCCCCTCCCCCCCCCCCCCCCCCCACTGATAGCTGGCCTCCTCCCCCCCCCCCCCCTTGATAGCCTGGCACAACCAACACCCCCCCCCCCCTCCCCCCGCCCCCCCTCGCCCCTGAATCGCTGGCGCCCTTTCGGCCCCCCCACCCCCCCCCCCCCCTTGATAGCTGGCGAGCCCACCCCGCCCCCATTGATAAGCTGGCAGCCCCTCCCTCCCCTCCCTGGATGGCTGGCATCACCCCCACCCATCCCCCTCTCCCTGATAGCTGCAAGCCCCCACCCTCACGATAGCTGGCAGCCCCCCCCCCCCCCTCCTGATCGTGGCAGGCCCCCCCCCTCCCCCCCCCCCCTGATAGCTGGCAGCATCCCCCCCCCCCCCCCAGCCAGAAACCCACCCCCCCCCCGCCCCCCCCCCCCCCCCTACCCCACCGATTAGCTGGCAGCCCCCCCCCCCCAACCCCCCCCCCCCGATAGCTGGCAGCCCCCCCCCTCCTAAAAGTTACAAAACGCTTATGTTTTTGCACTTGTCCGCCCCCTGCCAGCGACGCCTGCCAGCTACTCCTGCCAGCTATCCTGCCCCTCCCCCCAGCTCTCCCGTCAGCTATCCCGTCAGCTATCCGTCAGCTATCCGTCAGCTATCCGTCAGCTATCACATCGGGCTCCTCGGAGCCTCCTTGGAGGCTGGAGGCCGGAGGCCCGCAGGCCCGCGGCCCGCGTCGGGGTTCGGGGTTCGGGTCGGGCGGGGGTTGGGGGCTGGGTGGCTGGGTGCTGGGTGGGAGGAGCCAGGAGCCAGCAGCCAGCCCGCCGCTCGCCCTTGCGCCCCTGCACCCTGCCTCCGAACTCCGAAGGTCCGAAGGCTATGGGCTGTGGGCTGTGGGCCGTGGGGCTCCGAGCTCCGAGGCTACGAGCTACGATCTACGAGCTGCGAGCCACGAGCCACGAGGACCGATCGCGCTAACGCGCTAACGCGCCGCTGCCCTGGCTCTCCGCTCTCCGGGGCGTCGTGGGAGGAGGGAGGAGGGGGGAAGGGGGGGGGGGGGGGGGAGTCCCAGTCCGCAGCGCCGAGTCTCTCAGGAGCCCCAGTCTTTCTCTCCCGCCCCCTCTTCCCTGCTGCTTCCCCCTTCTCCCTTCTGTCGCCAGGTCCTTCCAGGAGTCTGGAGTCTGGAGTCTGGAGTCCCCCATCCCCCATCCCCCCTCCCCCTCACTCCTCCCCCCCCCCCCCCCCCCCCCTCCTCCTCCCTCCGTCCCCGCCCCCCTCCCCTCTTGCCCTCCGTCCTCCTCCCTCCTCGGAGCCTGTTACCCAGTAAGCCTTAACTCTTCATTACATGCGCGTTCCCTCTTCCCTCGTTACCTGTTACCTCCGACTCGCCACTCGCCCTCATTCCTCATCCCTCATTCTTCATTCCTCCTCGCCCCGTCCGCCTCCGCTCTCCGCCCGCCCTCATCATCGCCATCATCCATCATCCATCATCATCATCATCATCGTCGTCCCCCATCACCCATCACCCATCGCCGTCACCACCGCCATCTTGCACCACGCATCCCGCTCATCATCATCCATCATATCCTTCTGCTTCTCTCCTTCTCCTGGCTCCTATCTCTCATATCCTATCCCACCTTATCCCCTATCCCCTATCTCCTATATCCCATATCCCATCCTCTTCTCTCCGATTCGCCCCCTCCCTTGTCCTGAGTCCTCATTCCATTCTCGCCACCTGGACCCTGGACCCTGCTCTTTGCTGCTGCTGCCCAGTGCCAGTTGCTCTAAGGTGGGCTATTCTGGAGAATGTCGAGACCCTGAAGACCCCGCCGAGGCACAAGTCGGCGGGGGGGAAGTACACCATCATGGGGCCCTCCAACCTGGACGTGGCGGTGTACCGCCTCAGCACAGAGGCCGGCTTTGCCTCGGTCACCTTGCAGCTGGATCCCAGGCATTTTGGCTTCCCCTGTTCGCGAACACGCCTTTACATTTTGTGTCTCCCCCTCAGCCATCAGCCATCCTGAGAGCCTGAGTCCTGGGTTCCTGGGTCCTGCGTCCTACGTCGTACATCTGACATCTGACAGTGATCTGTGATCTGTCACCTCGAGGCCCGAGACCTGCTCGTCTACCGTCTACCGTCTACCGTCAACTCCCGCTCGCCCCTCTCCTCCCTCCTCCCTCCCCCCACTCCTCCCTCCCTCCTCCCCCCTCTCCCCTCTCCTCTCTCCTCTCTCCTCTCTTCTCCCTCCACCCTCCACCCTCCACCCCTCCCACCTCCCACCGCTCATTCTCCCTCCCCCTCCCCCCATCCCCAATCCCCCATCTCGACCCTCGGCCCCATCCCCCTTCCCCTCTTCCCTCTCATCCCTCTTCCCTTCCCTCTTCCCTCCCATCTCCCATCTTCCATCTCCCATGCCAACCCGCTGTCCATGCCGCATCCCGCATCCCATTCTGCATCCTGCATCCTGCATTCTTCATTCTTCACTCGTTCTTCCAACCGCCCCAAGCCCCAATCCCTCATGCATCATGCATCATGCAGTATGCAGTATGCAGTATGCAGTCGCACTCTCCACCTCCCTCCTCCCTCCTCCCTCTCCCTCCCATCTTCCCTCTCCCCTCTCCTTCCCCTCTCATTCCTCATCTCGCATCTCTCCCCCCCATCACCCCTCGGCCCTCGGGGCTCGGGGGGGAGGGGGGAGGGGGGGGGGAGGAGGGAGGAGGTGCGAGGTGCGAGGGCAATTGGTCACTGCAAGATGTTAGGTCGCCGGTCGCGCCCCAGGAGCGCGGGGCGCGAAGGCAACCGCGCGTCGCGGACTGGGTCAGAGATCAGAGAGCGTTGGGCCCAGGATCCAGGATCCAGGACCCCAAGATCCAAGATGGGGGATGGGGGCACACGAACTTCGACGCTCGGCGCTTTCAGCAGGCCCCCGGCCCCCTAGAAGGCTTCCAAGAAGCCCCCATGCAAAGTGCCAACACGAAACACGAGATGGCCGATGGCCGCAGTCGTTTTGGCTCGACGCTCGACATCCAGTCGAGCATTGAGCATCGACAAGTCAGCAGTCGACATTCAGCATTCAGCTAGCCGTTAGCGGCTAGCGAACAGCGAACTGCCTTCTCATAGCGCGGGCGGCGGGCGCAGCCTGCAGACATGTCTCGCAGGGCTACGCCGAAGACAGACATGATCCCGCCGCAGGTCTGGGAGTCGAATATGGAGCCCGTCGGCTACCTCAAGTATGTACCTGAGTGGCAATGTTTTCATTGCGAACTTTGCAACGCGTACTGCTGCAATCGCGGGGAGCACGCGGACTGGGACACCCACCTGATGTCGGAGAAGCACCTGAGCAGGGTTGATGCACTCTTGCTGGCGTGGTTCAAAGAATCTGGCCAAGAGGATGCTGTGATCTCGAACCCACAGCGGCCCCCGCGCCCAGCCTCGTGGGGCGGCGTCCGGCACGCGGCAGCGGCAGCGGATGCGCCAGCGGCAGCGGCAGCGGGAGCCGCAGCGGGAGCGGCACCAGTTCCTCCGCCTCGGCCAAGTCCGCCACCAGGAGCTCCGCCAGGTGCAGGCGTTGCGGCAGCAGCTGGTGATGGCAGGCAGCTCCGCGGGCAGCCCACTCAGGCAGCAGCTGCTCCAAGTGATGGTGCAGGTCAGTCTTGGCCAGCGTGGTCGCAGGCCCAGGCGAACGAGGCGGCTGCACTTCGCAGGACTGTGGACACCACTCTGCAGACTCTGCAGCGGGCGCAGGAGGTTCGCGATAGCCTGGCGAATCAGGTGCAGGAGGCGGAGGGCACGTTGCAGCGCGCGGAGGCGACGGTTACCCGCGCGGGGACCCATCTGCAGGATGTGGAGACGACGATGTCCAGCGCGGAGACCAACTTGCAGCAGGCCGAGCGCGAGGTCCAGCGCATCCAGGACCAACTATCGGATCAATTGCGGCAAGTGCAGGATCAGCTGCTGGAGACGGACCAGCGCGTGATGGGCATGACGACTCGCTTGCAGGAGCCATTGGAGCAATTCTTCGTGCGGCATTTAGCGGGCTGGGACCAGCGCATGAAGGCAATGGAGGATCGTCTCCAGGCGGCTGGGGGATGCTCAGAACAGGTCCAGAGGCAGCTTAGGGATGCAAATGATCGCCTGCAGGCCTCCGAGGCACGCGTGCAAGCACTGGAGGCAGCCGCGGAATCGGGCGGATCGAGCGGATCAGCAGGTGCCGGAGCAGCAGGTGCAGCAGCAGGTGACGGAGCAGCAGGTGCAGCAGCAGGTGACGGAGCAGGTGACAGAGCATCTGCCTTGGCCACCACCTTGGCCTTGGCCAATACGGAGCAGCAGATGCAGGCCATCACCAACCGCATGGACCAGCTGGGTCAGGAGATGACGCAGGTGAGCCGGCAGAATACTAATGAGATGCAGACCATCACCAACCGCATGGACCAGATAGATCGGCAGATGACGCAGGTGAACCAGCAGACTACTGAGACTTCGGGTAGGCTCTCGGACCTGGACTGGAAGGTGCGCGCGTGTGAGAATACGCGTTGGGATCAGGGGCTTTGGAGGTGAGCAGCGAGCTAGCAGCTAGCGAGCTAGTGGAGCGAGTGGGGCATGGCATTACAGCCCCCTGCCCCCTCTCGCATAATTTGCGAGGACGCAGTTCTCTAGACTCTGAGTGATCAGTGGTCCTGCGCGCTTGCGCAGGTCCGCGCACCCTTTCAAATGCACTGCCTGCGGCTCTCCGCTTTCTGCTTTCCTGGGGTTATCGTGCGTCGTGCGTCCCTTTCGCGCCGTCGGCCGTTGCGGGGCCCTTCCCCCTGCCGTGGGATTCTGGGGCTTTTTTGGATTGTCTTGGCCTCTCGCCTCTCGCCTCTCGGCATCTCGACATCTCGGGGGGCTGCCTCGATGCTCGATGCTCGATGACATCGCGGGTCGTAGGTCTTAGGTCTTAGGTCGTGGGTCCATCTTCCATCTTCCATCCGAGGCCCTCTCGGGCCCACGGCCCACAGGAATAGGGGATCGGGGGTAGGAAGCCATATTGGTTCCAGCTTCCAGCTTCCATCTGGCGCGGTCTGGGGTCTGGGCGTCTGGGGCCATATGCCATATTGGGCCACGTTGGGCGTTGGCCCCCTCGTTACGCGTTACGCACCACGCCTCAGCGCGCCGCGTGCCAGGGGAGCACGGTGGCGGATAGCAGGCAAGGGCGCATCGTGATGGATGGTGAAGGTCCCATCTTTGCCCAGCAGTGCTCAGCGCTTCCAGGCCGCGGCCACACTGCGCCAGGGATCAGCGTGGGCGCCGTCCTTGCTCCTTGCTCTTTGCCACTTCCATGTTCCCTTCTCCCTCTCCCGCTCTCCCTTTCCCCTCCGCCCCCTAGTTCCTGCATCCTCCTCCGGCCTCCGCCCTCCGTCTTCCGACTCCACACGCCATGCCCCATGCCCCATGCCCTATGCCCCACGCCCCATACCCTGGCCAATCAAGGCGCGCGCTCCGATCCTGGGCCAGGATGGCCCTGGCCAAGAGGCCAAGACTAGCTTAGGAATCCCGATTCTGGCATTATGACATCTGATCTGGCATCTCGCCTCTGGCCTCTGGCACGCCTACCGCCTACGGCCTACACAATGGTCAAAGGTGAAAGGTGACAGATGGGAGATAGGCCGCCGCCCGCAACGCCGGGCAGAGGCCGCCTCCCGCCATCATCCCGAATCCCGACGAGCAGGGAGCAGGAAGCTGGAATCAAAAACCAGGAAACAGTCAGCAGTCATCAGCCTGGGCGCCTTGGGCCTTGGCGCTTACCCTAACCAAGCTTGGTTGATCCCTGCTTCTTGATCATCCACCCTCCACCTTCCACCTTCCACCTCTCACGTCTCACCTCTCACCTCACCTCTCACCTCTCGCCTCTCACCTCCTGATCTCCGATCTCCTCATGCCCTCTGCCCTCTGCCACATGCCGCGTCACTGCTGGGTGCTGGGTGCTGGGCAAGCCCCCGGCCCCCCTTCCCCCTTCCCCAGTCCCACGCCCCGCACTCCACACCCCGCACTCGGCATTTGCAGATGCACACGAAACAAAACTCTGAGCCCCCTGCTGGTGGCACCGTTCGCCGTTCGCATGCATCCCCGCACCCCCCAGGCCCCCAGGCCCCAGGCCCCGGGCCCCAGACCGTCTATGTCTCCATATTCCATATTCCATATCGGCAATCGGCACGCACCTCAAACGGTTCGTGGCTCGTGGCCCGTGGACCCATAGCCCATAGCCCATGGCCCATAGCCCGTAGGGGGCAGGGAGTCAGGGGCAGGGTGCTGAGAGCTGACAGCTGACCTTGCCGAGCTCCAAGCTCCAAAGCACTTGCCCGTTGTCGTGCCGACGCCCGGCGCCTAAAGACTCATGACTCACGACTCGCGACGACGACGATCCCGATCGCCCGATCGCCCCGTTGGAGGCAATGCATTCCCCTCTCCTCCCGTGCCACCTCCCGCCTCCTGCCGACCTCCCCCCCATCCAGTATCCAATCCCCTCTCCCCTCTCCCCTCTCCCCTCTCCTACCCCCTACCTCCCTACCCCCTACCTCCTACCTCCTACCTCTTGCCCTCCTTCCTCCTTCCTCCTTCCTCCTCCCTTCTCTCCCCTTTCCCTTTTCACCCGACTCCCCACTCCTCCTTCCACTTTCTTTCCCCCCTCCTCCCCCCTCCCCTCTTTCCTCCCCCCCTCTCCCCCCAGGGCCCAGGTGTCGCAAAGTGCAGCGCAGCAAGCTCAGGGCTCAGGAGTAAGGAGTAACCCCACTGTGATTTGCGATCAATGATTCATGTGGCTTACGCCATTCCGCCGACCCACAGAAGGAGTATCAACCCCGTTAAGATGTTGAAATGAGGCTCAGTGTTCCATGTTACATGCTTCGTTTCTCGTAGGTGGTAGGTCCTAGGTCCTTCCTCCTTCCGCTGGAACCTGGAACCCTCTGGCTCTCCCCGCGCATGCACCTAAGATTTCAGACCAAGCCCCAATGCCAAATACCTATGACCTGAGCCAGCCTGAGACCAGATTCCAGATTGGTTCGCAAATTTGGATTTGGCGTTCGGCGGCATTGGATGCGTTTCTCGGCGCATGCTCCGCCTGGCATTGGATGACGGATGACTCTAGGCGGCACTGGATGACTCTAGGCTCTAGGCCATAGGCTATAGGCGGTAGGGAAATAGGTTGAGTGCGCAGAAGACGCGTGACGTGCGTGCGTGTGTGCGTGCATGTGTGCGTGTGTGTGTTGGAATTCAATATTCATTTTATGTTTCGCATCCCGAATCCCGATTCATAGCGCACCCGCTGGAGTCGTCCTCGCGTTGGGCGTTGGAGGATGAAAAAGAGAGTGCGCTTGCGCGCGGTGCGCGGGCGTGTGTGCGCGGTGCGCGTGTCTCTAGTTGCCTGTCACGTGTCACGACAGCGCGTTCACCGCGCCGCGGTCGAAACAAGTGACAGGTGCGAGGTGCGAGGTGCGAGGTGCGCGCGCGTTTGTGCGTTTGGGCTGCGTGTTGCGTGTATGCGGTACGCGTCGTTTGTGGGCTGCGGGCTGTGGGCTATGTTGGACGCGCTGCGCGCTGGAGGTGTCCCCGCGGAGGCGTGGAAAAGGTGTGCTTGCGTGTGTGTGTGACGCATTGGTGTCTTGTCGCGGCGCCGGCCTCAAGCTCGCCTGAAGGCTGAAGGCATCCAAGGCAGGTCGACAACCCGCTTGTCCGCGGCGTCGATTACGAGAGAGGAGAGAATGAAGAGAGGCAGAGAGAGAGAGAGAGAGAGAGAGAACATGTTGGAGCAAATGTTCCCACTCCACAACCAATCGTCAGATTATCGAACTTTTCGGCTGGCACTGTGGCAATGTAAGATGAATATGATTGTTGATTGTACTATAGACTATAGAACGCATGTTTTTGATTTCGACTATTTGAACATGAAAAATCTTAACTTCCACGCGCTGCGCTTGCCCTCATTTGCTTTACACGGCGCGTGCGCGCACCGCGTACCGCGCGCAACTTTTACCAAACCTTCATCGGGACACGCGTACGCCGCGCGCCATATGATTTGCGCTCTGCTTGCCATCGCATGGCATGCAGCATGCGCGTAAACCAGAAGCGGTCAACGGGCCAACGCGACGCGCGACGCGCCAGAAACACGTTTCGTTGTTGATTGTTGATTTCATGCCCTTCGCGCCCCCCGCCCTCCTTGCCCTGCGCCTTGCCCCCATTCTTTTTTTTTGGGTTCTTTAGGTGCGGCTGCCGCCGTGGCGCGCGTGCCTGCGCGAGCCGCGAGTGGCAAGTGATGGGTCCTCGTTCCTCGTCGTCGTCCTTTCTCTTTTCTCCTTTCTCCTGTCCCAACAATGCCCTCGCGGGCGCCTCGCATCATAGGGCGCCGGGCGCCGCGCGGCGGCTGCGGCGCGCGGCGCCAGATCCCAGATCCGCAAGTTTTCGCGGCGGCCGGGCATGCAGCGCCCGCGGCGCGGTTGCCGCTTGCCGCTTGCCGCCCCAGGGCCAATGGCCCATCGGCGCTCGGCGCTCGGCCAGAGAGGTTAAACCCTCTGACCGCGGCCTTGCCAACATTGGCGAGCCGCCCATCCTTGCGCGGACCCACGGGCTACCGCCCCGCCATGGGAACGGCGAGGTCAGGTGAACCCCTTGTGGGGCGTACGCGCAAGGAGTCGCAGAGGGCGCGTGAACTTTCTCTGGCGACCAGCTGCCGCGATTTCGCGGAAGCAGCGGTGGCCGGCGGCCGGGGGCACTGGCCCGCGTGCGCGCAGAGGGCGCGAGGCGCGAGCAGCAGCGGCGGATGGCGGATGGGGGATGGGGACGAGGATCGAGGTGGGGGCGATGCTGATGCACATGGACTGAAATTAGGTGACTGGCGATGGTGCACCAAGGCACCAGGTTCGGCTTGCGCAAGCTGCAAGCTGCAAGCCGTAAGCCGTGGGAGCGCTTGCGCCAGTCGCGAAGAGTGGCTTGAATGTCTTGTTGACTGTTGACTTCAGCATTCAGCAGGCGCCGCGGGGGGGCACTGCGCTCTGCGCTCCATATCGCTGCGCGGCGCGGGCGTGAGCACGTGATAGCACAGCTCTTAGTGCACGCGGCATCCGTTGATGCGTGCGATGACGGCGATCAAGCCTTGCGCCGCGCACGTGGCCGCGTAGCAGAGGTCAAGCGGATTGACAGGTCGCCCACGTTAGGCGGAACGCCGCAGAGAGCGACGAAAGTAAAAAACTCGTTGGACAAGATGGCGAAGGACATGGTGGAGACTGCTTTGTTGCAGTATGCGGATGCCTTCGCCGCGCCGGCGGCTGGCCTGTCTTTTGTCTCGGGCAATTGGCGGCCGACCGAATCGCGCCGCAGCTGACTGCGCACGATGGCAAGGGAAGCTTCATGCCCCTTGAGCGACTTGAGGCGATAGCGGACAAGGCAGAGCAAGCCCGAGCTCGCGTCCTACGTCCTACGTCCTACCTGCATTTCGCCAAGTGCCCGCATCGGCCACCCACGCGGCGGGTCGCTGCACC